TCTGGAGTAATCGTTCCCAATTTACAACTTATCACATGCTTTGTTTTATCATAATGAGCTAAGCCGTGCCCGTTTCCACCTAACCCACCATATTGCTGCCGTCCGCATCCGAGGTTGCCACAAACTAAGCACAGCCAAAGATTTTCTTTTAAATCACAGTCATTACAATGTGCTAGAGCTACAACATTTTAACAGTATTTTTAAAATGGATTGATATTAATATTTAATACCTAAAAACTCAACAAAAAACGGACAACTCCATACCTTGCGATTCCAAAGCCCTCGGCTGTTCTTGCACTAAATCACGTGTATGATCACATACAACAATTTCTTCTTCCCATGCTTTTATTTCTGATTGCCTTGCAGCCGACATAGACGTCATTACAGCATCGACTACAGCGGGCAGCTGTTTAAGAGAACAAGTTTAACAATCGGACGACTGGACATGTAATTGAAAATTATATATTTTTTTTACTTACATCACCAGAAGTCCTATCGATCTCAATACCTCCACAAGCATAGCACTTTACATGTGTGATAAATTCGTATTTGTCCTTTTCAGATTCGGGAATAATTGCGAGTTTACTGATCTTTTGAGGTGGTTCCTCGTTCTCATCAGCCTAATATGTAATAAGTTATAATTAACTAGAGTGGTTAACGGGGGTATTTAATATAATTCAAATGTACCCTCTTAGGTTTGTCTTTGATTAATCGATAGATGTTTAATACTAATGGATGATTTGTCTTTTCATAATGGATTTGGGCATGACGTCTTTCAGAATTGTTGCATCCTGCATTAAAACAAGTTAGGCACACGTCGATTCCAGGTGCGAGATCCTAATAAAAAAAAGTTGAATATATAAAAAAATGAATTTAGTTAAAAACATGATATAAGGCTGCGCAGTCAGATAATCACCTGTGAATCAAAACACTGCGTGCATTCTTCTTTGTATACATGAGTAGAAATTGTGGGTATTTTACAATAGCCGAAGACATGAGAACACGACGATTCCATTTTAGTAAGTTTAGGACTGAATTTTTCATCGGACTTTATCTAAAAAATACTGTTGCACAAAAAGTTTAATGAACAGAATATCGAATGTGACAAACCGAAACTCAACGGTTCTGATGCATGTAGAATCTGGCTAAATCTGAGTTACGTTCTTGACGCATAAAATTCAAGAAGACCGACCACCCAACTAAATCCAATGAATTTTTTTTATTTTGATTTTACAGGTCTGTAGAATCAAGACAAAAAAAAAGTTCATCGAATTTTGCTAGGTGGTTGCTGATATTTTCGGTCAAAGTTTTGAAAACATCTAAAGTTCATATCAAAACCTACGACAAAATTTTGTAAAACTTTGAACGAAAATATCTTGGCAAAATTCGATAAATTGTTTTTTCAAAATAAAAAAATTTATAAAATTTAGTTTATGTGGTTGCCAAGATATCTTTGTTCAAGTTTTTGCCGCGGTTGTTATTTCATAGACTCTTTAGATGCTTTCAAAACTCTGAGCAAAAGTACCTTGACAACATCCAACTAAATTCGATAAATTTTTTTAATTTGATTCTATAGGTTTTGTAAAATCAAAATAAAAAAAGATATCTATGTTTAGATATTTGGATGTTGAATCTTAAGGTGAGGCCATGCATTTTAGATGTTTTTAAAACTTTGAGTAAAAATATCTTGATAATTATTTCACACAGTTAGTGTTTTTTTTTTAGTTTAAACTAACCTGTTTGGCTTATCACTTTTATTAAGTATATTTTTAGAATTATCAGTGTTTTTAGAGGTTTTAAACATAGTATATTTGATAAGGATATATACAACTTTAGTTATTGTCTATTTAAGGGTTTTATTATAATAGTTATTCTCTATATGCTATACCTAAGATTTATTTGTGAATTTATTATTTAAATTCTTTGATTTAAATTTTTTAATTTTAATTTAATTCAATTTTATTTAGAATATATAATATATATTGTCGGGGATGATGCTGAAATCAGATGATGCTAAAATTTAGGGGGAAACGGGCACGGCTTAGCTCATTATGATAAAACAAAGCATGTGATAAGTTGTAAATTGGGAACGATTACTCCAGA